TATTGTAAAATGATTTTTTTATATGCTGCACACCGGGTGAAAAATCATTAGTGTAACATCGACGGTTCCTCCTGTTGAATATAGCAGATAGTTTAGTCAAGCCTGTTTAATTCTGGTAAACAAATGACGTCATGATATGTTTATCATGTGATCGTAGATCACTGGGTTAACTGTTCTTAATGTGCCCCCCATAAAGTCCCTATACAATAATAATAAAAATCATTAATAAAGCTCCTTTGAACTGTCCAATACAATAATGCTTTTTAAAAAATCTTTATACTTATCTTGTAACACTCCTTAACAATCTCCTTAACCTTGTGCCAAATCGTAAAACCGCCTTTACCATCTTTGAGGAACGTTACGCAGCATACTCGATTTTCAAGCGACGATTCGTCGCATTTGTCCCATCCCTGAACTCGACCACCTATCTAACCTCTCACAATATCTAAAGTGTTACACGAAGGTTAGTTATAAAAAAGTATTTCGGTATTTGTTATATCAAAGTAATTTTCTTAAAGATAAATTGTAAATTGGTTCGTAATTCAATATACCAAAATTTATGATTAAATTCATTACATCAAGGTAATTTTAAGCTAAAAATTCTAGCTGGAAAAAGTATTCGTTGTAATAATACTTTCGGTTTATCGAGATTCATTAGACTGTATTAACTAGAAAAACGGGAACCTTTATGAGTCCGAAGCATAAAATTTTGTTTTGCGTAAAAAGGTAAATAATTCAAACTCACTCTTATTATAGTGATGAATTTTTAAAACTCACTCGTATTATAGTGATGAATTTTTTTTAAATTCTTAAAATGCAAATTTTAACTCGATATAATGAAGCTTGTGAAGTACAGCCAATCAGGGATGCAGAAGCGAGCAGACAGAATGCACGTGACAGTGGTGATCAAAGCTTGATATAAATTAAGGGTGTCCTTCGCTACGCTCCGGACAATAATTTCTACTTTAATGGCATCTAGTTGTCGCAAACTGCATCACTTAATTCAATACAGCCGTCTCCGTGACGACCTCCTGGGAGAGGCTGATTCTTGAATGACTATAAGCACTCCCGCTTCATCATGATCATCAAGTTTATCTTTATTAAATTCAAGTTCTTTTTAAATTTGATCTTCAAGTTTAACAGATAATACTGATAAAGCTTTTAGGTTTGTCGTCATTCGGTATTTCATCTTTTTTAAGATCAGTTTCTTTTCCTCGATCATCATCGGCAATTGCTTTTCAGCATTGGCATCTCCAATTTGCTTATAAATATAGTCATGAGCTTTATTATAACTTTCTCTCATTCACCTTTGTACTTAGACGCAGCATTTCTCAGATACGAAAGGTTAATACTCAAATACGAAATGTTTATACTCAGATGCGAAAAGTTTATGTTAGTTGCAAAATTTAATGAAAACTCTGGCAATTTAAGTTTCTCTTTAGAAGCTTCTTTCTTTAGAGGCATGCAAAAGTGAGCCAATAAAAGTTATTTACATTGTATGAAACTTCCAGGGTTTATGTAATTATACTCATTTAAATATTTCATTATGTACTTTTCTTGTGCTTCTTACCTATTCTTTCATTGCGTTCTCCTCTATTACTTCTTTCCAATCTTTTATTGCACCAATACTAATTGTTCATTGCACTCCGTTCATTGCGTTCTGTTCAAATCCTTGATTCGTTTCTTCTAATCTTTCACCGTACTCCCCTCCTAATCTTTCATTTTGGTCCTTCATTTCATTCTTTATTATAATACTTATAGTGCCTCATATAGAGTTGTGACCCGAAACCTTTCCGAAACCTTCAAATTTAGAATGTTTAATACTAATGCACATTTACTGTAAAGTAACCAAAATATTTCTGAAATGCAATCTAATTATCATGTGCTTTATGTCTTAAAGTCTAATGTTAGATTTCTAAGCCTTTCAGTATAGTATCAGAGTTTCGGAATAGGTTTCGGGTTGATTTTATATATAGTTTCGGGTCACAACTCTAGCCTCATCACAAGTTTATTGCGCCTCTTTACAAACTTTATTGCGCCCATCACAAACTTTATTGCGCCTCTTCATAGGCCTAATCATTACATAATTCCTATTTTTTTTTATTGTGCCTCTTCCCAATCTTTGACTACTTCTTTAAAATCTTTTACTTTATAAAATTTGATATTTGTGCACCAAATCAACATAACAATTATGATATTACGGCACAACGTTCCGGTTTACAAATAAATACAGACGTCATAAACATATTAATTTTAATTAACTGTCAGCTATACTTATGCTTTTCACAAACAGGCCAAGAACAATATATCAAAAAGATGTTTAAAACAAATATTATGTCTTATGTCGAACACAGCCAGATAGTTAGCATGAAAAAGAGCCAACCATGTAACATGAAATACAATAATAAATTCATATAAATTAAGTAGGTAAATGTTGCAATGAAGATTAGTTGAATAATGTCTGAAGAAGACATCATTGACGTGAAAGATCTTGATCTAGTGGATCCAGATAGTGCTTTAACGCCATCCGAAGGAGTAGTGAAAAAACCTGATGATAATAAACCCATAAATTTTGATCGATCTAAGGGAGAAATTCCAGAAGAAAATGTAGATATAATGGATTACATCAGGATTCCAAGTTATTTGAAACCTATAGTTAACTTTACGATTAATAGTGCAAAATTTTTTGTTAACAAAAATGATAAAAACTATATTAAATTTTTGAAATGCATAATTTTTTTACTCGTACTTCCATTCCTCCTTATTATTGATTCAATGGTAATCTTCATACTATTTTCGTGTTTTCGTTGGAGACGAGTTATTGCACATTCTTTTACTTCAACAACTATAGCTATTTTCACTTTTTTTTTTACGATTTCTCTTAATCAATCCTTTGATAAATTCCAATTAACATCTTACCTATTATATTTAGGTTTAGTTGTTCAATATTTAATTTATAACGAATACATATATTTTTTATCTTCATTTTTTATTTCATTTTGTTTATTAGTGTACGGTATAATGAATTATAATATTGTCGATGTTGAAAGTCTATGCAATCAACATCCCATTTTTTTGTTGACATTATTTTTACTTACTTTTTTTTCACAAATTCTCAACATTATATTTATTACTTCACCAACCTTTTTATATGCAGATTTTGTCGACACTATTTATGAAGCTAATACTATTTTCGTAGAAGTGTCACATTATTCTAATATATTTAAACTATTTATTATTACATTTTTATCACGTGGTTTATCTGCTTCTGAAACAGAAATGATTACAAATTTTGATTTTAAACATCAAACTCAACGTTTATATTTTTGGGCTGACAAAAATAATACAAAATTGTCGAAATTTAATCACGTATCTTTTGATAAGGACTCGTTTGATTTTTTAAGAACAATATCAATAACAGAGGAACAATTCAAAATTTATTATTTTGAAGATAATTATCGAATTTTTATTTTGATGTTATTCGTTGATTTTTATTAATTTATAATACGTAGTTATATTTTTTTTAACAGATATTTTTTAACACGGACATAATTTGATCTTATTTTCTTCCTATTCAACAATAGATTATATATTCATGAATATTTAAGAGAGATTTTTATTAGAAATAAATGATAAAGTAGATTTTTAATCTTACTCGTGCAAAGAATTTTCAAAGTGAGAAGATTGAACGCGATCATTAACCAATCAAATCCACATAAATTTAACAGCTAACATTAGTCTTTGCTTCAATATTTATAATACTTTGAAAAGCCATTCTATTCTATGACCTTTATTAAAGATGCTTTACAACCCTTAGCTCACATATAATTAATGCAATACTATTATACACATTATCAACTTTAATTTAACAGTTTAATCCCATACATGTCGTCCTTCTCTATAACTACGCTGTTTGTTTTATACAAAAAATATGTGATTATAAAATTTTAGTTAATAGTAATGTGTTCACATAAAGCTTTTTTTCAATAAATATAAATATATTGCCAATGATATTCATAAAATGGTGCTTATAAAGACTATATAGGAGGTGACTGTAGAGGCGGATGACTGTAACTAAGAATGCCACCTTTTGTTTTATGTGATTCTATTTGGATTAAATTCATAACGATAAAGTATGTATCAGTTATAAATAATTCCCATGTAGCACTTAAAGTTTCAAAAGACTGATAATAAACAAGTTCAAACGGGTTGGGCTCAAACTATATTCACACTTATAATATTAAGCAAAAGTAAATATAAATATTGGTATAAACTTCTTATTGTTACTAGTAAATGAGTATCTAATATTATTTTTACATTATAAGTGATATGTTTCATTCGACAATTTCTTGATTATTTTTACAAGATAAAATAGACCGGTCAATGCCGTTATAATCTACTTTCAAAATTTCAACAAATGCATAATTATTGAATAGCAATTCACAACTCCCGTAAATGAAAGAATTTTAATCTAATATCAACCTTTTAGAGTTCCATATTTGTATTAATAGGTTCATGCGGTGCTGAAATAATAAGTTCATAATTGGATGTGAAATGAATGTTTACATCTTTTTTTTCGAAAACTTATGCCAATTTGTTAAAAAGAATATTATTGGGGGTGACATTTTTGCTTGAAAATACAGTACGGTTCTATAAATTCATTTATTGCGGTTTGCAAAATTATGGGAAATTTAAAGATTATTAAAAAAACAGCAATCAATAATTTCCGATTACTGATTTCTTTAACATTTTCTTTGATTTTTAGATCAGACAAAATTTGCGCATCTATTATTTGTAAAACTTTTATTGTTTTTTATAGAAATAAAGGTTGCATATTCATCATTTTTGCAGAAGTAGGAGTTGCACATTAAAATATTCATTCAAATTTTTACAACCGATAAATGCGCAAATTTTATCTAGTCTAAAATACAAAAAGAAAATGTTAAAGAAATCAGAAATTAATGATTACTTGTTTTTTTATTGCACTTTGCAAAATTCTGTACCCCCCTTGATTACTAATGTTTATAAAATGTGACTGTGATGCAATTGCAATTGTTAAGGGTGTTCTCAAGTAGCTTCATCAATGTGATTAGCTAATGATCGAGATGTTTCGGGTGGTGGTTATTGCGGTTAATCGAAAAACGAATTGCAAAAATTCATTTGGATTTCAAATTTTAGCCAATCAGAG